AAAATTGGTTAAGTATTGTATAAACTGCCTTAAATTGTGTTATTCTTTATTTTTGTGCTGAGTTACTACAAAAAATTAAATGTTAAAATTATCCAAAAAAATTTAACACATTTTTTGGAAAAAAAAGAAACTTCAGTTATTCCTTTTATTAAAATAAAACAAGTTTTTAAGGTAGTCAGAGAAATAAAAAAAAAACCCCACTGTCTATTGCATTTATAAACAGTCGGCCGACTGTAGTCGGTACATCTCTAAATTTTATAGCTTACAACTCTGTGAATGATAGTAATACTTAATACATATACCTATTTCTAGTAATACTTTACACTGGTCCGTATGTTGTGTTGTCCATGTTGTTGTAGGGTTATTTGTGAGGATTTATATCATTTTACATGTACAGGGTGCTAATAAATGATTAACATCTGGAGGACTGTCAATACGTCTGGAGGAAAAAATTTCAGCTTTCATTTATTATCACCTTGTAACGGGTGTTCATTTAAAAATTTCTTCAAGTTGCCATTGATTTTTCTTCTGTTTTTTGGAGTATGTCTGTGCTGAAATTCAAATTTATTATCAATGGCAGGTATGAATCTAACCTAATCTCACTTTTTCCAATAAGTATAGTAAGTGAGGAGAGTAAATACGACTATTTTTTTAAATTTCTATTAAAAACAGGTTTAATATTACAATAAATATTGAAAATGTTACCCCTCTGCGTCAATGCATCGTAAAACTCGCCTCTCAAAATTTCTGAAAACATTTTCTAACATACCTAATGGGATTATTAGGTATTAATCTGCAGGCATTTTTGTTCAATTCTTTGTTGTAAGTCCTCCAGATTTGCCATCGGCGTTTCAAAAGTTGTCAAATCACAGAATCGAGGTGGCCAAAGAATTTCTGTACTTCGACTAATTATGCGGTCATCAAAAAAGTTTCTTAAGAAATTTAAATTGTCCATTGTACAATGAATTGGAGTTCCATCTTGTTAAAAGAATCCGTTCTGCAATTAGGGTAAATGTGTACAAGAGTACGCACTTAGTGTAAAACTGTCAACAACTTTTTAATTTTTTTGGATAGACAAATTTTATGATATGGGTTCGTTATATACATGTTTAGAGATCAGATATATTTAATTGTACGCCCCAACACCACTATATTTTAAGAGTAATTTCAATTTTTGTCAAGATGTGTAAATGCGCACTGTTAGACAGTTCATTGCACAAGAGTGCGCATTTGAACGCTTATGAGTACGCATTACATTTTATGAAAAAATATTTGTTTCTAAGGTGAAAATAAATGGGAATAAGTGACTACAGACTACACATAAAACGGGAGACCTATTTCTTCGTACTCTAGGGGTCTTGAAAAGACGAGAAAACGTAAAAATAGAGAGTCGGTCGACGGACTCGATTACAACACGCTCAGGAAGTAAAAATAAAAAAAAAATCACCATAACCACCACCCCACAACTTGAGAAGCAGTACAAAGTAGTAGAGTTAAATAATTCATTACCGTATGATATGTATCTCCAAGACTATTAGACTACATATTGCAAGCAATGCGCACGCTTATACAATACCTCGCTGCGCACTCTTGTACATTTGTACATAACCTAATGTTTTCAAAGTTAAAAGCTTTTGATGAATAGAAAGTGTAAAACTGTTAGTGTATAACGACACTTTAAAAGTTACAACTAATGAAAATTATTACTGTAAAATAAAAGAAGTGGTACGTACCTTACAAAAAACTAAAACTATGAGCGGTAAAAATTACATCCACACAACGTGTGAACATAAAATCGTCAGTACGACCAAACTATAAACTATATTCAGGTCACTTTTGCACCTTTATCTCAGGTTTAACATTAAATTCTGAATGGTATAACTTCATCTTACCCAGATGGCACTAATAAGCAGAAATCATCAGTGCGTACTCTTATACATATGCGCACTCTTGTACACATTTACCCTACATCATTATCTAACTGATTCGTCTTTGAGTAATTGCTGCCCACACATCAATTTTTTGAGGCTGCAATCGTTTTTCAATAAATTCATGTGGGTTTTCACTCCAAATTCTCACCTCGTACTTTGTGAGATCAAACTATGATTTATCAGTAAAAATTATTTTTTACCCCAATTCTCTGTTGTTCATATTCACAAACCAATTGCAAAATTCTAATCTTGGTGGGGAATCCACTGGTACACTAGATGCAAACATTTAGTGCGATTTGGCTTCACACCAATTTAACTCCCATTACAATTCAGTAGCCCATCACAGCCGCTACCTGTAAAGACCTTTTCTGGTAAAAACACAGAGCAGTACTGTCTCGGCCGTCCCTGACACATGGCATGCTTCGCATTTGCTAAGTTTTATGAAGGGTCGGCTGTAAAAGACTTTAAACGTCAAAGCCATGAACACAGTGAATGTTTGCGTCTAGTATAAGAGTTCTTGCACTGCTGTGATACGGTAAGGCTTGACCTCCAAATCTTTGCCTAAAAGTTTGTGGGTAGTTCCAACAGTAAGATTAATTTGCTGATGTAGGTAATTGACGAATTTACGTTTTTGATGTTTCTTCCATTATTTCTTCAGTATGAGCAATAACTTGAGATGTTCGGTTATTGGGCGCCCCACTTCTTACCTTTCGCAAAAGGCTACCAGTTTCTGCGAAGAATTTTATCGTTCGGTCCTAGGTTTTTTCTGCCTTCTGGCCTGCAATGAATAAGTCACCTTTAGCCCCATTCCGATAGTAACTCTGAACCAAAAGATTTTGTGCTTTAAACTATAAGCCATGGCACCTAGCTATGTTAATCACGTCGTCACATAATTGTTCATTCATCAAATTAACAATGAGTCCCCCTCTTTTCTTGAAAATAGTGAATGCGCCCTACGATACTTAATAATGATAAAATAGTAATTGAAATTTGCGTTCCCATGGCGTAGGGATTGGGGGGTGCTATTGACGCCGGTTCATCCGTTCATCGAAAAGAATGGAGGAATTTTTATGACTTTGCTTGTCTAGTTGGATCCTCAAGAAACCCCAGATGTGCTGTTTACAATTTAACACGTACTTAACGATATAATACTTAGTGATTTCGAAAAACTGCACAACAAAAATATATGAGTAGTATAATTTTGAAAATTTCTTTCTACCCTATAAAATTTTATTGGCAATAACGAGACGGACAGTAGTACAATAGCAAAACATATTTAGAATTTGGAAGTTGTCGCATGCCGGTAATCCCCAGATAGTTAGAAAGGCGAATAATTCAGGTTCGGACAGGAAAATGAGCATTATTTTATGAGTACAACTACCTGCCAAATGTTCTCCGACAAATTCAGGTGAACTGGTGTGACCCATAAATATTTCTTACGATTGTACTACTGTACTACTATTCACCTAGTTATTGTCAATAAAATTTTATAGGGTAGAATGAAATTTCCAAAACTATACTTGCGGAGTCGTGCTGCCTGCAGAGCTGTTACCATTTTATTTAATGTGCCGAATAATTACAGCACAACTTCTTGTAAAGTTTGTCCAGAATCATAAGAATTTTATGCACTCCCAACGTTAATTTGTTTCACAGCTCAGGCGTCAATTCTATTGTACAGGTAAAGAGCCTGTCAGGGAAAGCCGATCTTTTCTGTACCTGAGTTCGCCCCGCTCTTCAGCTAAACAATAAAACTGGCAACAGGGCTGTAAAATTGAATTAACTTTGGGAGTCCATAAAATTCTTATAATTCTAGACAAACTTTACACGTATACCTAATTTCATTTGATTTGTACAACTGGTTCTCAAGATATTTAACCATTTCCATACATGCTAGAAACCCTGTATAAATGTTATCAGAAAACAAACATTTTTTATATTTTTTCAAAGAAGCGGAATTCGTTGGCTGTACTTCAAGGGCGAGGGAAGTTCTGTCGAAGTAACTTTGGACCAATTTTTTTAAATTCGGTAAATACGTAAAAGTAAACTGAACAACAAAACACAAACGGAAAATCGGATAAAGCGTATTAGCGTAACCAACTCTGCTTGACAAAAATGTCAAACCACTGTCAAATGTCAATTATGGAATTAATCATCCACATGTATTTTTCGCTACCTTTCCTTCTAACAAAATGTCAAAGTTAACTTCATGAATTTTTTAAATGAACACCCGTTATCTATCCAGTTAGAAAAGAAAATTGGTAGTACAATTCTTACTTTCACGCAAACCACCTGAAGTTTACTAAATTTATTGATGAACCTTGCGTATAATCATTTCTTATCATTCCGCTTATTATAGACACAATTTTGAAGTTGAACTTATTGCTATGTCAAAAACTTCTTCAGGGAAAGTTGTTTCAGCCAAAAAAAAAAGTAAAAATGAAATAATATTCGTATTTAACGCAAACAGCATCAAAACCAAAAACACTCAATTTCGATCTGTAGTTTTGATGATTTTCAACTTTTCATAGGTACTGATTTTTTTGCAAGTGATAATAACATAGTTCCATAAACAATTAGCCATTGGAAACGGATTGTCCTTTTTTTATTGTTGCACATCTATATCGGAATAAATAATGAAAATGAAGTAAGATAATTCCCTAAGCCAATTCTGTTGAAAAGAAAAAAAAATCGTCATTACCTAGCTCTAATCTAAATAAATATAGCTAAATATATTATTACACCATAATAGAATCTTTTTACATTAGTAGGTTAGTTTTGTAATAATTCATGTTGTAACGACAATTATTAATTGTATTAATAACATATCAAATAACGAAAACAAAATTATGTAAACAAGACCAAATAAAACTGTGTTGTGGTAAATGGTTTAAACGTGATCATATGGAGTTTTTAAATTCTGCCAGATACCTACACTGAATACCTACTAGTACTAGAATTAACGCCTAATTTTTTGATGCGAAGAAATTATCGTCTTTATTATTCGGGTTGCAATCGTATACAAACTAAATACGTTTCGTATTGTAATAAAATACACCCTACCTTTTTTAGGGACGTAGAACCCACCGCTGCGATCCACCAAGCCCTTTCCGGCGACAACTTCATGGAAAAAGACCGGAAGTTGTCCGAATTAATTTTCCAACTACAGATGGTCCGGGAGCAGCTCATATCGCAGCAGCAACAGCAGCAGCAGCAGCAAGACAGCAAGGTCCGTATCACCTCTTTTCTAGCTTTTCCCGTGTCTGCATCCCATCCCCGATCCAATGCAAATTTAATTCGGTCGAGAGAATCAAAACCTCCTCAAAGAAAGAGCAAACAACGGTGGCACAAAAGTGGCGACAAAGGCCTTCCGACAATCGCCTCTCTGTGTGTCGTGTTGCATATTTTATTTATATTAGGGTTGTCGATCTGCATTCAGGAGCCGCGCTCTTTGACAGCGCCTCTTCGGAACCGGCCAAATTCGATTCGCCTCCTAGAGCTTTAGTTCTGGCATCCGTTCGGGTGTGCGCGCTCCAACGGACATATTTTCGTCTCGCCATTGTTCGGAAATCCTATTATCCCACCTGTCAGACAACAGACAAAACCAACTCATCCGTCACTAGGTGACCAATGGCGATAGGTCGGATTTGTGCCAGCCAATAGCGTACGTCTTGCGCGTGGGTTCCGTCACAGCTATGATAATCATTCTTGAAACAATGCCCGGGTTACGGCGCCCGCTCGGCTCCGGGCATCCGGAACGACGCAGAACTAAAGCTCCGTGCACGAGTTTCTTGCCCACAGCGGATCTGAACCTATTATAAAGCGTTAACGTTTAGCTTTATTCCACGTATTATCTTGTCTCGTTTCTGATGATCCTGCGACGTATAAAAGGGGCTACTTGAATAAGAGCTTTTGAATAATTTTGTTACAGGAAAACTCAAAAACTCACACAGAACGTGTGAATACAAAGTTTAGTTTTACATGTCAATTAATCCAATGGGTTACTTGTTTATTAATTTTCTTTTTTGTCAAAAATATAAGTTACAAATCAAAATATATTATTATCTGAATATACCGATTTGTAATAAGCTTTTAATTCCTTTTACTAATGTGACCAAAATCTATGCCTCGAAATGCATATTGATCGTGCGTAAAACCGAATTTGCAATATTTATTTCGATTTGTGATTTATTTTACACCTCAGTCGGTTTTAAAAATTACTGAAAAATAATCTGTTTGAATTGGACTGTAATGAATAGAGATCAAATTCAGTCAACTTGAATTGAAACTAGTCATAGATACCTACAGGATGTTGCATGTTTTGTGGCCACTAGGTAAACGACGACTTTTTTAACATTAAATAAAAAAACGTTGAAGCTTTTTATTACATACAATTAAATTTAAAAAAAATGAGCCTTTATATTAGCAAAACAATCTGCAAACAGGAGTTTTTTAAATTCTTTAACTGTATGTTCGTCGTAAGTATATTTTTTTTGCATATCCGCAGTTACGATTAATTAGCCATTAATAACTACGATGATTTGACCTATAAATTGATTCTGTTTTTAACCATCTCTTTTCTACATAACACTCAAAAAACCAGCTACTATTACTTCTAACGACGGGCAAAATGGTTAAAGTGGATAACAATCTGACCTTCAAGTAGATGAACATATTTGGAGTACATTGACTACCATACGTCATTTTTTTCAATTTAAATTTATGAGGATCTAAAAATTCTTCAGTTTTAAAATTCAATATAGGTATATTTTTTAATTATGCAAATTTTGCAAATATTTTTAAAGGCGATGAGGACATAATTGAATTAAAGAGAACGGAAATGTTTTTTAGAAAAAAATGTGCTTTTATCAAAAGACTTAAATATTATTTTGAATATTAACTCTAGAATTATAAATTTAGATATGCTTTAAAAAAGACATCAAATTCAACAATAATCGACACGAATGACAGACAGACAGACAGACAGACAGACAGGCGGAAACGGGACTCCTATTCTTTCCTACTGTAGGGGTCACGAAACATCGGGAAAACATGAAGTAATAGGGTCATTCGCCGGATGGACCCTATTACTTAGCTTAAACTACATGTCTACTTGAGAGTGACTCTCACGAAAGGTCTGATTTTGAAACTGTAAACGTTTGATTTAAAATTCGTTGCTTTTTTCTTTTTGTTTTTACCTTGTTTTCCCTTCTTCTGACGTATGTAATGAATACTTCTTCGTCTCAACAGCTATTTAACATTTCTGCCTCGACCAGCGTAATAAATAATCTTTAATATTTTTCTGCAGAGAGTGAACAGAAAATGAAAAAAAATCCTACGAAAATGTTTTATTAAAAACAATTACAATAAAAATTAGGTTAACTACATAGAGTTTTGCAAGTTTATTGAAAATGTTCCCATGTCAAATCTTCTAACCTCCAACTGTAAAGTCAGCAAACTTAAGTTTTTAAGCGTTGAAAAATCCAAAAAATTGGTGCGTTGTTACTATACCACACTATACTTTAAGAATTAATGAAAAAAACACTAATGATGCTGATGACGTTTAAGGTGTGATACTGATGAGCTGATGAGCGGTGGTAAAATGAAGGTAACATATTTTTTGTAGTTTTTGTTCCTTTAAGAAGGCTGTTTAATTTTGTGATATGAAAAGAATAGAAGACGATGTTTATTTATTTTTGTATTTGCGATATTGTTGGTTTTCTTCAATAAATTATGAAAATATTATTGGTATATAGGTACTTTTGGCCCCTTTCATTTTGGAAATAAGTTCTGTTCTGTAATAATGTGATCACTGAGTAAAGACTAAAGAGTATGCTATCAGCATTCATTCATTTTCCTGGCTTGTGAAACAAACAAAATTTTCTTGGCTAGGCAGTCAATCTTACCCTTTCTCAGCCCCGGGAAGAAACATTTATTTTAACTTGGTGCAAGGTAAAAAAAATAATTGTATTGTCCATGCAATAATGTTTATATTTTTTTTTCAGCGCGGATGATATAAATCCGCGTTTACAATTTACTTATCTGTATTTTTTTCTATGTTGCAATTAAAGAACTTTGTACTTTTAGTATAATACTAAGTATAAAGTTATTCCGGCTGTAGTGATAACACTCAGCGCATATCTCTTATGTTGTCTCTTTTATTTATTTTTCTACATATTTGGCACTTACATTTTTTTTTTTTTTTTTTAAGAAAGTTCATAGCGTAAGGAGTTATGCAAGTATTCCAAATTAGAGTTTAAATTTATAATTACAGTAGGAAAGAATTTTGTGAAAAATTACTTACCCTCAAACTTTTTTTCGGATTGTTTAAGAAAAAAAATGCCGACTTTTATATTGTTTGCGAGGCCACTTACACATGGAAATTTTTGTTTTTTTACGTTGTTATTTAGCAAATAAATGGGTGATTTTTTTTTAATTAGGTACTGCGTTGGACTCGAATTTATACTATCATCCAAATTTAAAATTTACCAAATTCTTAGCCTTGCTTAAATCTATAAAAATATACACATATTTAATTAGATTGAAAGGCTTCAAAGCATTCTAAACATTACACTTGATAAAAGCTTGAGAGATAAAATTTTTACGATATATTTATTTATTTTATAAAAGTATCAATATTTCATTTGAAAGATCTAACTTCAACAATGACAAAGAAAATAGCAATAAAATCAATCAGACCTAATGCATACCCTTCAGTAGGTTTTCCTTGTGAATTATCCAAAGTGACATTTAGGAACGGTTTTATATTTTTTCAGAAAAAACGGACCGCTCCAAAAATATCGCCATCAGATCATCGCTAATACTTACAACAGTTCAACCTTGTTATCAAGTACACAGCCCCACTTAATTATTTTTGTAATTTAAAAATCATATGCGGAGAACTCGTCCAAACGTTTATAATTCCGCTCATTATGAATATGACTTGCAACGCAATTTGTCTGTTTGTATATAAGAGAATAATTTTTCATATAGTTAAATACAAGATTCCTGTGGGATAATAAAGCTGCGTTAACGATCTGTGAATTTTCATGGGCTGATTTTATGGTCTTTTTTGAGAAACAAGAATAGAATTTTGTATTAGTAAAGCGTTTTATTACTAATAAAAAAATCTTCGGAATGCAGCCGCAAAATTTGTATTAACAAGGTTGGTGACGGGTGTCGATTAGCCTTATTGCTTCCGTAAATGATAATTTATGGCATAGACAACTCTTCACTTAAATGGTAGTCTTCTGATTTTTTCGCAACCTGACACAAGTACTAACATGTACTTACATTAATTGTTAATCAGACTCATTTAATTAATAACATAGAGCTACAGTAAATTTTATGAGTCACACATCTATATCTTGAATACATGTAGAAGCAAGACGGAGCTTACTTCCTACATCACTTACTCACTTTTTAAAATTAGCCGCAAACCCAAGACTGCTATTATCAGTTCCGTAAAATGAAAAATCCGGGTAAGAAGAAACGCATGACAATTTATCAACAGACTGTAGAAATTGAAAAATCGACACGTTTAATTATGTGTACGCACGCAAGATGGATCTACGTCTTTTTATAGAAAGTCGACGGTTTTTTAAACTCATCAGCATCTATCTTGTCTATTTTCGGGTGGCCGGGATCAAAACTGACGCGATTTAAGCCCAATCCTATCAGATTTTATCCACTTTAAATTACATATTGCATCGATTTAATCCCGGATTTTATCGCTTCGACTTTATCGCTGTCCAATTGCGAATACTTTGTAATGATGGCTTGAATATTTTAATTTATGATTCGCTTTAACCTCGCTGATATAAAACTAAGAACGCCGCTGTTTTAATAGATCGTAATAAAACGAGGCTCAAAGTTCCGATGGACATCATTCGTTGAATTTATTGCAAAGAACGCGCTTTTAACTAGGCACGTATACCTTTTATAAGCCGCAGGTCTGACCGAAAATTCCTAAAAGAATAAAATGAATGAGGCATACACGCGTTTATTCAGGTATCATTCGAATAATGCACTTAGTTCTCGGCGGCCACACTGGAAGGACTCGCTTATTATAAGACCGACCTGTTTCAGAATCCCAAAATGCTGCCTACCAAGTCTTATTTATACAAGACTTGTTGAAATTACGAATATGCTGGGATTTTTAATAGTTTTCAGTAGGTACGTGTTTCCTCTTCATGCAGTATTGAAAAATTTTATTAAGTATAATAAAAC